GATCGGGTCTGGTTTGGGTGGCTAACCAATTAAGTTGTCCGATCAGTTGCCTGGTTTCAGTAACCTCTGTTGAAGATATTGCATCTTTCAAATTTCTGCCTGGTTCTAGTGGGATACACCTTAGCTTTTTGACATATTCGTCCTGTCCAAGTTTAACATCATTCCCAGTTTTCTTTATGCTTAATCCTATATATTGGAACTCAGCAACTTCCTCAGATTTGATCCTAAACAAGTGACGAATCCTGTCCATGACTCTGCTCTGAAAAATCTCCGAGCCTGCAAAGCAAAAATCATCAACATGAGTAGCTATAATACCATGCAGTTTGTTTCCAAAGTTCCATGTAAATATGGCTTGATCATATTTTGAAACCACTGCTCCTGACTTCAACAATTCCTCTTTGAGTGTCAGGTACCAGGACCTTGATGCATCAGTCAAACCATATACACATTTGGAGAGTTTCCAAATATATCCTGGAGGTACCTTGGCTTCTTTGGGAGGATGCAAATAGATCAATCGGTCCAACTCTTTGCTCTGTAAAAATGCTGTTTTTATGTCCATTGACTTGCACACCCAATGGTTAGATGCCATTATAGCCAAGGCTATACGTAGACTTTCTTTAGAGCATGTTGGAGAATCATTTCTTATATTGCCCGCATCCCTTTCCTGAAAGCCTCTCGCCACAAGTCTAGCTTTATAGATCTGTTTGCCATTGACATTTTTATTAGTATAAACCCATCTTGTGGATATTTTGCATTGGCCTTGGTCAGGCACTTGGGTGTAAACTTTATTTTCAACCCAGCTTTGGAGTTCGTTTTCTCTTGCCATTTCCAGGTCGTGATTAGAAGAAGAAATCATAATGTTTTCCTCATCACTAGAGGTAGCTTCATCCTTATTTATTGGTCTGGCTTTATTTTCTTTCCATTCCAATACTCCATGATTGAAGTCTAGCCAGAAGGGTTCACCTTGTTCCATAGCCACATTCATTAAATGCTTGTTTTTTACCTGTAGCTTTGCCTGCCCTACTTATGACGTTCAATGTTCGCCATTCCGAATCATCATCATTGGCAAGTTTGCATTTAATGGATTGTCCTGGCTTGGGAAGCGTAATTGTTTTGTGAATTGGATTTTGCTTTGGTAGTACGTGTGCCTCTCTCACAGTCTGATGTTGTGCAACATGATCATTCAGAGTTCCTGGTTCTTCAGCAACATCGTTTTCGTCAGACATTGATAAGTTTGAAGATCCTTCAGGCTCACTTTGTGAAGTGGTGGATTCACTTATAGCCTCACTTTCAGAGGAACTTTGATATGTTTCTGGGTGAGACACGAGGCGACATGGGTGCACTCTTACATATGTGCCCCCATGTTTAACAAGTACCTGCTTGTGCTCCCACCCTATGACAGTTCCTGGACCGAGCCATCTATCACAGAAATTTCTCTTATAGAAAACAACATCACCATTTTTGTAGGATTGTGTTGTACTAGTCCTAACTTGATGACGAAGTGCACGTCTTAATTTTTCCCAAGACTCACACATAATAAATTGTTTTCTAGCTGCATGCATGGCATTGAGGTTACTGGCAACTATCTCACTGGTAGAGACACCTTCTAATGCAGGGAGTTTATCATTCAAAAGGAGGGCAGATTGGGATTCCTACCAAAACAAGCTGATTGGGGCTGAATCCGTGAGCACTGTGAAGTGTATTCTTTGCACTTATAGCCCATGCTAGTGCTATCTCAAAACTACAATTTGTGTCCTCTACAGTCTTTTTTGACCATTTCTCCCAATATCCCATTGTGTCGTTCATTTAAGCCATTACTCCATGGACTTTCAGCAGCAGTGGTACGCACAACGATATTTAAATTCTGTGCCATGTCACGGAATGATTCGTTATCAAATTCCCTACCATTATCAGTTAAGATAGATCCAGGAGTCCCAAAATACGCTATCCAGTGTTTAAACATAGCACTGATGATGTCCGATCTTTCTTTACTTGGAATCCTAACGCCGACACTGTATCTGGTAGCATGGTCAATCAAGTGCAGTACCTTGTTACCATTAATCTTTTAATATCCATAGCAACAGTTTCATTAAAATAAGATCCTAATGGGAATCCAACAATAGGTCTAGGTTCGTTTTTTTATAGCGAATACACACTTCACAGGAATTTGGAAGTGCTTGTAAGATTTTCATAAATTCAGGATCTCTTATTCCAGCATTTCTAACTAAATCACATAATTTCTTACTACTGGAATGACTAAATTGTCTATGTAATTTGGTTGCAACTTTCACTTTTTCTGATTTGTTTTTAGAGGAGATTTCTTTAACAAGAAGAATGTGTTTGAGCTTACCTCTATCTGGTAGGGGTCTGGTGATAGGGATGTGATAATGACCAGACGATGTGCATCTCAATGGAATTTTCTTTTTAAACATCGTCACACTGTCATGTTCAAAATTGAGACAGGTTCCAGCTCTTTTCATTGCATCTTTGCTTAAGAGAAGTGGAATGTCAGAATCCACAACATCGGTAACAATATTGACGTCAATGTCTGCGATGACACATGGTAGAGTCACATTGTAGAGAGAGTCCAGCTTGTTTCCATCCCCGAACTTAAAAGTTCTCACCCTTTCCTCATAATTATTTTTTTTTTTCTGTGCATCAGTTAATGTTTCGAGAAAACATTCATACCATTTTTTTTTTTCCACAAACGGTGCCAGATGCACCACTATCTAGGACAGCGGAACCAAGTGTCTCACCCAAAAGCGTGTTGCCATTTGCCTCGCGTTTTGCTGACTCATCAGCACAATGTTAGCCAGATACAGATAACTTTCGTGTTCGTCGTCCTCATGTTTGTCCCGGTATCGTCGACATAAGGGCAGTCGTAAGACCAGTGAAATTTGCAGCCACATTTAAAGCACACAGTGGGTTGCCTTCGGTCCTAGCGGTTTATTTTGTTTATGTCAGTGGAGCGTGTTTTTTTTATTGTTGTTGCTATGTCGTTTTCCACCGCGGTATGTTTTTCCTCGCCGACTATTAAAATGCGAATCACGGCGGTGGGAAGAGCGACCATAGTATACCTCGCTAGGTTCGTTTTTATTTTCAGTAAAGGCAATAACATCTTCCTTCTTGACCACTACGGATGTAGAGTTCATAGATGAAGCTTCAGACGGCTGTCTATGCATAATCTTCTTTAATTGTGCCGACATGGAAGAGAGTGTCAGTTCGCCAACAGTCGCCTTTGACTAGTCTTTTCATTTTCAGGGTTGATGGAAGCACTCTTTAATGCCCTGAATGCAAGTACCGGTTCAGGCAGGATGATGTTGAAATCTTTCAACTTAGCAACGTGTCGGCGAAGTTAATGAGAAAGTCTTCCACTGATGTTTCAGGCTGTCTCCGGTATCCTTCGAAAGTCTCGTAGGCCAGAAAGGCCGACTGGTTTATATCTTCCAAAAAAAAGCGTGTCCAATTTTTCATACAGTTTAGCCATTCCATCCTCAGAATTAAGTGCCGCAACATCCAATTCCAATACAGCTTCTCTGGGTTTTCCTTCCAGTGAAAGAAATACTATGGGGGCGCGTTTTGTTTTGTCAAGCGACGTGGCCATTTCCCAGATTTGCATTTCTTTTTTCCACGTGCTGTACTTGTCTTTAACTAAGACGGGCGGTGAAATGTGCTTTGAAGCCATAACTACGCTCTGCTACCAATGTTAGTATAAAAATAAAGGACTGTCAAGGTGCATAAAGAAAAAAATATAAACATGTGAATGATGGACTTCGACAACGGATACGGAGAGAATATTTTATTCGACTCCTCACTCACTACACAGTATAAACAAACATGGCCGCCGCCCCGACTTCCGACCGGAAGTCCTTTTCCCGGCAGGGAGAGTTTTCAGGGGAGATAGCTCACATAGATTAACAGTGAGGATGGCATTTGACATGGTTTGGTTCCAAGAATTTCATTTGTGAGGATGGCATTTGACATCATCTGTTTCCAATCTTCTGGAGTGCTGGCAAATGTGTGTTTCTACTGACTACATGTCTACTAGTTTACTGACTACTGCTATAAGTACCCTAGTCTATCTACTGTTCTCTACTCTACTCTACTGACTCTCTTGTGGTGGAAGGGTCATTTTTATAATGTTGAGGGCATTTTTTTCTATCATCACTGATGACAAGGTTATTTTTAGAATGATGAAATATCCTTATTTTTTATCATCACTGATGGCAAGCTTATTTTTAGAATGATGAAATATCATCATCATTCTAAACCATAACACATGCATCACACTCTTTCCCAGCTGGTGGTGAACATTGACAAAATTGAGAATCAGAATGTAACATGGGAGTGATCATTGACCACCGGTGGAAAGCTTGCACGAGGGTCATGTTGTATGTTTATAGAAGCAAACAGACTGCTATAAGAAAAAGGAAGTCTCTACCAACAATGTGCAAGCAATCTATTTTGAATACTTGACAGAAATAGACAATTTCACTTTAGATGAGTAATATTACCCATTGTATTATGAATCAGTGGACCTTTATTGTACTGTAAAAAGAAAAAATTGTTGTGGACCAAATATTTAGTAATAGATTAGTGGACATATTGGAATTTTCTCAAACAAGAGAGTAAGAATCACTATACAAATAATTATGTACACTTGCAAACATATTTTATTGACTGAGCAAACTAAATGGATTGGTTGAGTGATTGGTTAATTGATTGATTGATTGATTGATTGATTTATGGCCTATCAACATTTTGAAGATCATTTAAAGCCAGAAAATTTTTTAGATTGTAAGAAATTTTTGGAGATAATAATGCTTTACAGATCAAACCCCTACTAATTAACCCATAGCTGGAGGGAGAAGAAGAGTATTCATACCTTTACCAATGGTATTTGTGCATAAATGAATATAATGAACTCAACTGGAATTGGAACACGGCTCTCTGATTTCCAATTCCAAGACATTATCCATTACACAACCTGCACATTCAAGCTTACAACACCTGGTATTCCCAAGTGTTCATCCATCTAGGTACTGACCAGGCTCAATGTTGCTTAACTTCAGTGATCATGCAAGAACCAGTGTTTCAACATGATATGGCCGTAAACCCTAATGAAGCAGGCAATCTTCTATAAGTAAAACTAAGTCACTACCAAAAATGTGCAATCAATCTATTTTGAGTTCTTTACAGTGGACATACAGAAATAGACAATTTCACTTTAGATGAGTGATATAATTATTCATTGTATTATGAATTAGTGAACCTTCATTATACTGTAAGAAGATAAAAATGTTGTGAAACAAATATTTAGTAATAGATTAGTGAACATATTGGAGTTTCCTCAAACATAATAGTAAGAATCAATATACAAACAATTATGTACAATTACGAGGATATTCTATTGCCTGAGCAAACTAAATGGAAACAATACAAAAGAAGTGAATGAAAGTTTGTATGTAGTGATGTCTTTTTCATACATATGCATGTGTGAACTTCCTAGATTGCGAGAGACTTACATTTGAGAAAAGTTCTTTATCTGATGGTTTGGTAAAATTAATATGTTTGTGTATAGTTAAGCATGCTTATAAAGCTGTATACTATTCTATGTTGTGTTCAATGCAGCATGAAGTTCACTGGCAGCCAAAAGGTCTCCTAAAAGAGAACAAGACGTCTTATCTGTAAGGTATTCTGCAAGTTAAGAAAAAAAGTATTAAACTTTTGTACACATTTCTTATATAATTCTCTGGCAATGACAAAAAGTGGTTGCTAGCCAATGTTCTTTGTTAGACAAGTAGAGTAATGCCATAAACCAATGTAAGTCTTGGCAAACTTGGACCTTTATGTCCACAAAAAACGGAATGTCAAAAAGACCATTTTTTCATTGACATCACAATTATTTTAACTACTTTCACCCCTTGGCAAAGTTTATTGTTTTGAAAAGTAATCATTAGAATTATAACAAAACCTAAACATATGATGAAAGTGAATTTATACATTTTGTGTTCTTATTAAACACTATTTATTTATTAGATTGTTTATTTACAAGAATAATTTTAGATTTACAACATTCTAAAAATTAATACAATTGTATAAAAAATAATGCAATGCAATATTTATCATTTACCAATTTATAAAGAAATAAATATGAAAACAATTTTTTATTCATAAATTTATAAACATTTACTAAATTATTAAAATAAGTAAACCAACTATAAGGAAATCTTATTATTTACCATTTTATAAAGTTTGAATCAATTGGTAATTAGCAGATGTTTTGCCAACCATTGGGTTAAACAATATAATAAATAAACAATATAATAAGTAAATGGTGTTTAATATTTTTGTTGTCTGTTCGCAAGAATGAAGAAAATGTATAAATTCACTTTGATATGTTTAGGTTTTATTACAATTTTAATCATCACTTTTAAAACAATAAACATTGCTGACGAGTGAAGGTAGTTAAAATAATAGCAGTGTCAATGAAAAAACTGTCTTTTTGATAGAGTTTTTTTGTAGGCATGAAGGTCCAAATTTGCTTAGGTTTCATTATACTACCTAAAAAAAGAAAAATTATGATTATAGAATTCCATTCATCACAGGCAATACTTATTCAATTAATAAATATTTCACAAACTATGTGAAATGTCAACAACTAGGAGTTGAATCTAAAGCTGATACCATATTCTATAAACTGCACACTGCACAGTATACTGCCTTTTACGTAAAAATAATAAATATAGTTCATGCATAAATATCCAGTTAGATGTGCTTTGAACACCTGTTTACAGACATCAATTATAGATGTATTGTTTATTTAAAAAGCTACTTTTGTCTTAAATGTGTCAGTGTTTGTACCAAGCATCTGATTGACAATTAAAATCTATTAAATATTACATATAATAGGTTTTCCATGAATAATCTTATTTATAACAATACGATTTAAATAAAAGAAATATTTTAAAAAATTTTTACAGATCATGTTCCATTTGATTTTATTATCACATTTTTAAAATTTGATTAATGAATGATTTTAAACTGGATTTGATAGCCATTCCAGGAATGCAATTAACATGTTTATCAAGCTAAAAAAATATAGTAAAGGCATTTTATTGATTGTTTCAGATAATAATATAGAGTAGTTGTGTTTTAAGAAAGGAATCTTGTTGTTTTCTTGATCAAGTTATCAACATTTATGTTTTATGAAAGACTAACGTGTACTGCTTTTTTGACAAAGTTGTCAAGATGTGTGTTTTAAGAAAGAGAATCATGTGTTGCTTTCTTGATAAAATTGTCAACATTTGTGTTTTATGAAAGGCTAACATATGTTACTTTTTTGATAAAGTTGTCAAGCTTTGTGTCTTATGAAAGGGAATCATATGTTGCTTTCTTGATAAAATTGTCAACATTTGTGTTTTATGAAAGAGACTCATGTATTGCTTTCTTCATAAAGTTGTCCAAATTTGTATCTTATGAAAGGAAGCATCTGTTGCTTTCTTGATAAAGTTGCCAACATTTGTGTTTTATGAATGGTATCATGTGTTGCTATGTTAATAAAGTTGATATTTAATGAATTTCCACTCAGGTTGTTTTACATTTGTGCAGTGAGATGTTCAATATTTTATCAAAATAGAATTTAGACTGTGTGTTTTTCCCAAGGCTAAACATAAAAGTTCAATTTTGATCATAAATCATATATTTTTATCATGTGTAAAAAAAAATTCATGTATCTTCATTGAGTGAAATACAAAAATGGTTAGAATTTTAAAATCTCAAAGATAAACCTTAGTATTGAGAACACATCATTTCATTACACTTAATTCTTCAAATATAAGGCACATTTTTTCATTATATCTTATTAAGATTCTTTAGTATGTGTATATCATGCATTAAAATAACATATTCTAACATTTTCCCAAATATTAAATTGTATCCAATAAAATTTTAAAGCTGCTTTGAAATATTAATTTTTCAATATAATCTACTTAATCCAAGCACTCTCCAACAACCATACAGATCAAACACTATGCAGTGAAAATTTCAGATGCAAATTTAGCTAAAAACTGTATCAGGTTACAGATTTATTGATCCATTCTCATACTTGAAAACCTTAAAAAGAAACACAATGCATATCTATTGACACAACCTTATGAACTCATGAATATTGTTTGATAATGGCTTATGAACATTATAAACATAATTGACAATTTATATTGAAACTGTGTTTGGAAACAATGTAAATGGTCTGAAATAAAGTAAAAAATAAATATAAAAGTTTTAAAGAAAGTACTTTCATTGAATTTCAACCAAATATTCATAAATGAAAAGAAATTGCTACACACAATCTATCTATCTATCTATCTATCTATCTATCTATCTATCTCTCTCTCTCTCTCTCTATCTCTATATATATATATATATATATATATATATATATATATCATTGTTCTGTCCTATGATATTGAGCACTTGGTTTCTTGTAAACTTTTCAGCTTCTTTTATATTAATAAGTTTTATATATATATATATATATGTGTGTGTGTAGAATAAAATAGAATAAAAATGATAGCTACTAATACTAGCAAATAATATGCATAAAATTATACAATTCAATGTATATCAAATTTTACAGAACCCCTGGCAACAATGTACTCTATGTATATATAATAAACTAGAGTAAAAATGCTAGCTACTAATACTTGCAAATAATATACATCAAATTATCTCTATATATTATATATATATAATACTCCATATATATATATATATATATATATATATATATATATATATATATATATATATATATTTTTTTTTTTGTGTGTGTAACAATTGAGGGGCAGTGTGCAAAATTTTGACATGAGACACACAGAAGTCAAGACTCCATTCATGTTCACATGCAAAAATCTACTGTGCTGACAAACTACAAAGAAACCACTCCAAACAACAGCAACACAGTTCAAAGTAAGAACTAAATTCTGTTTTTTTGAGTATGTGTAACAATCCCCTTCTTTCCCAGACTCTGAAATTACAAACTGAATCTACGGAATGTCAAGGATTACACAGACCTTCCAAAGTTTACACAAAATTATTGTGCTTTGGGAACTTTTGCAGTAAAAAAAAAATTGCTTGTAAATATGTAACATTTACGAAGATAAAATAAGGACATCTTTCCTGAGATGTTTATAAATTGTACACTGTTCAATTATTAATGTTAAGAATGAACTATTTTAAATTACAAAATTGTACTTGGATTAAACAAAAATTACTTAGAATATAATACATATTACTTATAATACATTTCTTCTTGCTGTCAATTTTGACAGCACGGGTACACTAGTTCAAAATAAAATGCTTCCATTTGCCTTGATAAAGTTCCTCAGAAGATGAAATACATTGGGTAAGATAAGTTTTCCTTTTGTCTTTATTCTCACAGACACAGACACACACACACACATAGAGTATGATAAAAATAACAGCCTTTTCATTTTCAAATTGAGGTGAATAAGATGGTGTGGAGAAATTGAGTGGCCATCATGATCACTAGACTACCAGATTTTTTCTTGTGGGGTTTACTGAAAGATCTTGTTTACAGGCTTAAATGGAAAACAATTCCTGACTGAAAACAATCAATTTCTGATAACATTTTCTAAAATTAATGTAGAAATGTGTTAAATTGTTTGTAGAAGTATTGCTGATAGGGTTCAGCATTGTATTGAACATGAAGGAGAGCATTTTAAACATGTTAAATAGTTTGTTAAGTATAACAAATCATGTTGTTTTGATGTGACAATACTTATAAATTTTCTTAAACTACTTTAATTTATTTTTGTTCAGTAAGGGTTAATAAATAAAAAAAAAAGTATTACTTTTGCCACACCCTGTATATAAAGTATTTGTTTTATATATAAAATATTTATAATTTGTGTATTTAGGCAGCAATCCTTCTTTCATGCACATTTCATTGAATACAACAGACAAGGTGCTTTGATTTAGTTTTTTATACAATTTCTCATGTGATCTAATAATTTTTTTCTTTTTGGATGATAAATTATATAAAAACTGTCCAATTGTTCTTTTTATCCAAGCACTTTTGGCTATACATTTA